TAACTTCACGAGGGGTTACCAGACGAAAGTGAAATGATGACACGTCGGGATCGAAGCGTCTGTTGCTGTAGCTGTTGACCGTGGATTGTACTACTTTGAGGTTTTGGATCTACATCATATCAAAGTTGTGATTTTTCAAATGGAATGCCTCAAATTTTATTGCATATTTGGATAAACCAATTCAAAAGAAGAAAATTGATATAACATACTATGGGGTTTTGGTAATTAGCTACTGAGATATCAGGTGTTTTGTGTAGAAAACCCCCCACTTCGGCAATCCCTCCGTCCGCCATTGAAATTTGGTGTGCTGAAATATGTACCAAACAAAACTTACACATCTCAGCTTTTATCTTCTTTGTTACTTTTACGAATTTTGATGGAGCGGCTAAAATATCGCATCATCCTTGGAAACAAATAAATTGTTGATAAGTTACAAACTGTTAAAATTAGCTTTGTGAGCATTATAATGAAAACGTGTTTGAAAATGCATTTTTCTAAAGAAGAAATGGTGAATATGGTGTTCGTTTTCCTCACTTCGAGAACGATTTATACTGTTCTGATTGTTATTAGTTTTTATGCCAAATCTGTACTCTTAGTGGCAATATGGAACTAGCTCTCTGTTTGTCTTTTGTTTCCATGGATGATGTGATTATTTTCCCGAATTTTGGTGTGTTGTTCTATTTAAAGCTTAATTCAAAATCTAGGGATTTTATCTGAATCAAATGTCGTACCAAAGTAATGCTAATAAAAAATTGAATCCAAACTTGCACAAATATACAGGGTGATGCATTTGATATTTTTGAGAAAAAGTACAATTCCCGTTTTTGACCACCCTGTATGAGCAAAAATGAAAATTCTAAAAAGTAAAAATTAAGATAAAAGCTGTGAGGTGTAAGTTTTTTTTAATACTTAATTCAGCACTCCAAATTTCAAAATGGCGGTTTAGTGGTCGCCGAAGTGGACGGTTTTTCTAGACAAACCACCTTACATCTCAGTAGCTAATTACCAAAATCCGACAGTATGTTATATCTTCTTTTGAATTGGTTTACCCAAATATGCAATAAAATTTAAGGCATTCCATTTAAAAAATCACAACTTTGATGTGTAGGTCAAAATTATTATTATTATTATTATTATGATAATTGAGATGAGCAGAGTACACAGTACTATAAGCTCATGCAGTAAATATAGTGTACGGACACGTAACACAAATACATCAAATAGAAAAAATAAAAAAAGACAGTTCATAGCTATAAAGTTTGTACACTCCTCCAGTTATCATACTGCACTTTGAAGCTATTAACTGAAGTAGCACCAACCACACTTTCAGGTAAACTATTCCAGGTGTTGAATATGCGGTTGGGAAGAAACCACTGTCGGACTGTTGTTTTAAATGGCTCCTTGTGCAGTTTGAAGCTGTGTCCGCGTAGATTGCTGCGCGACAGACAATATAGATGCATGAGGTTGGTGCCCATCAAACCATGAAGTATCCTGAACGTAACTATAAGATCGCCACAATGTCTTCGCTCAGAGAATGAGGTCAGGTTGAATAATTCAAGGCGATCTTCATAGCTTGGTCTTCGTGCTCCAAAAGGGATACGAGTAGCCCGACGCTGTACTGATTCGACGAGATTTCTATCGCGCAGAAGCACAGTGTCCCATACCGGGCCAGCGAATTCAAGAATTGGCCTCACGAATGCCTTGTAAATGTAGGCGCAAGTGTTGACATCGGATCCTTTGAAAGACCTCTCCAGCATGTATAGAAGTTTCTTGGCTTTTGATGTAACGTGGTGAATATGCTCTGACCAGGAAAGACGATCGTTGACTACAACGCCCAGATCAGTGTGGCTGGAAACTGCTTCGATGTTGTGGTCAGAGATCATGTATGTAAATCGCGGATTTGTCTTCCCGAGGTGAAGGACACAACACTTAGTTAGATTTAAGGGTAAAAGCCAACTGACTGACCATTGACAAACAATATCAAGATCTCGTTGAAGCATAGCAGAATTTACGACAGTATTGTAAATCTTGGTGTCGTCGGCATAAGCTGAACATGTGGAGGAAATCAATGCGGGCAGGTCACTTGTATACAGAAGGAACAGCACTGGCCCCAAGACAGAGCCTTGAGGAACTCCACTTGCTACATGATGAAGGTGAGACTGGCTATCACTGACGCGCACAGAGAAAGTCCTACCGGTGAGAAAATCCTTAATCCACAGTAACAACTCGCCTCTTATTCCCATACATTCCAACTTAAACAGAAGCCTTCTATGTGGTACGCGATCGAAAGCCCTAGAAAAATCTAAGTAGATTATATCAACAGGAGTCTTTGTGTCCAGATACTGAGTCCAATCGTTGAGAGAGTGGAGAAGGTTGGTCATTATTGATCGACCAGGGAGAAATCCATGCTGATTCTTAGGGATAAGGTCATTTTCGAAAGCAAATGACAGGAGCTTATCTAATATGATTCTTTCAGCTATTTTGGCGGCGATAGGAACGAGACTTATTGGTCGATAATTTTTAGCGGAGGATTTGTCGCCCTTTTTGAATACAGGGGTAACAGAAGCACTAAGCCAGCATGAGGGTAGGGTATGAGATCTAAAAGACGATGTGAATATCAAGTTTAATGGTAGGGCCAGTGCTGAAGCGCAGTTTTTAAGTACAGCAGCCGTCATCCCATCTTTACCAGCGGAGGAAGAGGTCTTCAGATTTCGCAGGTGCATTAATACATCTTCAGGCAGGAACTCAACTTCGCAAAGGCTGTTGGGACACCTATGGCAGATAGTGGTCGGTAGAAGGTCTCCATTAGGCTCATCGACGAAGTCATCACTAAAGGACTCTGCCAGTAAGTTGGCAGATTCGGTGGCATCCATGTGGAGATGACCGTCAGCGTCGCGGATCTGAGGTGATGAAACTTTGGAATTCAGGTTTGTTCGTAGATACCGAAACAGCTTCTTCTTATTTTTGGAGGTAACAAGTTTTCGTTCATAAGCATGTTTGGCATTATGTAACGTACTAGATAGGAGGTTAGAAAAGGATCGATGAGACACGTAATCTTGTGAATGGCCGCTCCTCCTATACCGTTGCCACAAAGATCTCTTGTGACGAAGCATCCTCGATATGTTAGAGTTGATCCAGGGCTTTGAGGGGTCACAGTATACCTTCTTTTCAACAGTATTGTTAGCCGTTTCGCTTAGGACTCGTCGAGCGAAAGTGTCCCACATATCTTGGGTGCTACGGTTGTTAAGCAAAGCAGGCCAGTTGACTTTAGACAGGGCTTGGTTAAGAGCATCGTGGTTTACAATTTTGATGGTTTTAAACTTATCGGTTGTAAAACGACTATTTATATTGAACTGGAGAGAAAATAAAAGTGAACAGTGGTCAGACTTGCCAGAGGGTGGCAAATAATCTAAATTAGAAACAAAGTCGGCGTCGTTAACGAATATCAAATCCAGAGCCCTAGGCGTCTGTCCTTCCCTGAATCTCGTTGGACGATCAACAAGTTGAGATATGCTAGAGTTGCGTAGCAAGTCGATGAAAGCAGCAGAAGAAGAATTGCATTCAGGAATGGTTGACATAGGCCAGCTAATGTCACGTAGATTGAAGTCACCAGCTATGAAAAGGTTGGTGTTTTTATTTAAGAGATCTGAAATGAGACTGCACAGGTGTGTGTCTCCCAAACAGGGCCGTGGCCGATATATGCAGCCTAACGTGAAGCTGAAATTTGGGCACCTCAATTCCAAAAATAGATTGTCAATGCCATCAAAAGGACTGAAAGAGAGAGATACCGAGAAAGCCGACGCGATTTCCGTGCGAACATAAATGCATACTCCACCAAAACCAGGAGTGCGTGGTGAATCCATTCTGTATAAATAGTATCCAGGTAAATTGATGGAAGAGTCGGACACGTTGGAATGGAGCCTTGTTTCAGTAAGGCAAACGAACGTTGGATTATTGTCTCGAACAAATGCTTGGAGTTCAAGTAGCTTAGAAAAGAGAGATTGTATATTAGTGTAACAAACCGTCCAGTTTGCGACAGAATTTATCAGTTTTTTGAAGGTGTGATCTCCTGGGTAGCTGTGTGTACTATAGAAGGTTTACCACGAACGTATTTTATAGTAATATTACTTTCGCCTGTTGTTTGACGACGTCTAAGCTCTTCGCGAAGGTGTTGTAGTTCTTGCATTTGACCTCTGGTTTTGACGTCAGAGATTTTTACGTGACGAAGCGTGGGGTGGCTAAGGATGGAGTTTTTCTTCCGCAAAATATTGCTGACGATAATAGGTGAGGAAAACACAACTCTAATTAAACGATTGCTTGAAGTTGTTCTGCCAAGGCGAGTGATGCTGAGTCGGTGATTTTCGGCAGATGGTTCAATATGCCTAATTATTGGGACACTCTGTATAATTGCCAATATTTTAGAAATGTGCCCTCAAATGTCATATATAACATGCCATACATAGATTATCCCAAAATTTGTGAGTAATATCCCGTTCACACATGGATGGGCCCCCTGTATATGTCACAGCTGTCGTGTACCACCGGTGGTATAAGACAAATGCAAAAATATTTACATGTTACACAAAAAATATTACCGCTGTGCTTTAACACTATCCGAAATCGGCTACGTCGCGAACGTGTTTTAAAAACGCATGTCAAAGAACATACCATATGTGCAGTATGAATCCTATGAATATAAATTAATATTGGCAATTATATCCTTACACGAAGTATTATTATAGTGATTTCATGGATATAAAAACATAGGGTATCCATCTCAAAAGTCCACACATTGTTAATCTGTCTACCGCAGTTTGTCCAATATTTTGTGAATAAGCGGGATATAATATTTTCCATTAATTAGAAAATAAATATTTATACGATGAACAAATATTACATATCAAGATACATAAAGAAATATTTATTGAATATAGAATAAATATATAAACATATTATAATCCAAATATTTACTAAATATTTTTTTAAGATAACAAATATTTGTCAGATAAAAATATTATTAAATATTGAATAAATATTTAACGAATATTTCATGTTGAGAAAAAAAATATTTTATTAGTCATCGGTATACACATTAAGGCCGTCTGTCACGACACTGCACTGGGACTTGGGACTATTGGGAGAAGTACAATGCTACAATGGTTGCTAGAAGCGCTACGTGACAAGCAATTGCATGATTTGTGGTGATTCCTTGATATTTTCTTGCTGTTCAAATGCTTTCAACAACGCAGATCTCGCTGCTGCCGCAGTCGCTTATAATAGATTTGAATTAGTGGGTTGCTCCAGTTTCTATTCGTTTAAAGTAATAAAGGAATCAAATAGCAAGCCGCACTGAAAAGTGTGGCTAGAATGACATTGACGTGACAAATCTCAGTTCGAAGTTGACAGTTATAGTTTTTCTGCCGGCTGTGCATGATTTCGTTTAAAATTTATTACAAACATTTCTTTACGTGACAGACAACTGAAATTGTTAAAAAAAATTGGGAACCAAATTCAGCAACGCATTTTTTTCACAAAATTTGATACCGAATTATGAACAAAATGTCGTATCGTGACAGACGGCCTTTATGAAATAAAATCAGACGAAAAGTATTAAGAATGACTGTGTAAAAAAGGGATGAGCGGATTTAAGGGCAGAGGCCCATCCAGAAAATGTTTCGGTGATGTGGGAGGACGGAAGCCCTAAGGAAAAGCGAGAACCTTGTTCTGCCTGAACTGTCCCAGCTCTGGCTTTGTAGTTGCCACATCGATTCTCATTCTTCTCAAGCGAAGCGGACAACGATATGACCGTTCGAGATATTCTCGTTGCATCTATGATATGAAAACAGGACTTGTTGAAAATAGCCATGTTTACATTATTTCAGGTTGTACTGGGAGTTTTGCATGTTTGCATATTACCTGTCCAGATTCTTCCTCGTAAGCGTTGTTGTTTCATTCCGTTTTGAAGAACTCGGGATAGGGCTTCTATCTGCAAGAATAGGAATGGACGCGTTGATATATTGTGATATAATCAAAAACTTTTTCACTGGGTACTTTGATAGTGAGAAGAACGTTACAGTTCTGAAGCCTCGCCTTATCGCGATGTAAGTATTGAATACAAAATTCTATTTTCGATAATTGAATTGAATTGATACATGACTACCATATTTTGGCGTATAAGCGATAGTTGGAAATTTCTAGATGGCGGCTGGGCGCTATTTTGGAACATTTTACTTCCTACGTTACTGGGCGAGGAAGTATTGTAATCGGGAAAAATAAGAAATTGTATTTATTTAGAGGTTATATGATATGTATGTATATCACGAAAAACTATGTCACTCATTTCCATTGGTCCGTCTGTTTGTCGGTCTGTCTGTCGGTCTCTCTGTCGATATGTCTGTCGGCCTGTATATCTGTCGGTCTGTCTGTCGGTCTGTCTATCAGTCTGAGTGTTTGGCTGTCGGACTGCCTGTCTGCTAATCCTTGGCCTGTCTATAACGTGAGAAGTTCTTCTCGGATTTTGATGAAATTTTCACAGAAGGTTGCTACTAAGCCAAGGACGATAAAGCTTTGCAGTTCTCGAAAATATGCTTTTCTGACGTTTCAGAGGGTCTTGATCATTTTCAGAAAAACATTTCTAGAGGTTGAAATCCGGTGGTTGGTGGTTGTAGTGGGTGGGGGAGGGTATATGAATTGTTTTTGATCTTAGAATATTTATACGCTCGGTATGCCGGTAATTCTATTCACCTAACCCTTTATGAACCGATGCGTGGAAAGTGCAGAGTCAACCTACTTGACGCCATCTTCTTAAGTGAAAGTGGGGCCGACCGCCATCTGGAAGTTTTCAACTGTCACTTTCACGCTAGAATATAGCATTTATTCATCAGTTTCATCACCCAGAATTTTAGCTTGCTAACTTGAGTCATTCAAGGAATAAGTAGAGGCGGGGGGACCTTTTTGAAAAGCAGTGTATAAGGGAAAACGTATAAGATCATCGAGCTCGGAGAGGGGGGCTTGGGCCTACGCCCTTTTGCGGCAGCATTGATTAATGTACTCATACTCTACCTCGGGGAATACATTAATTAACGGTTGCAGCTACTATTCTATGCTTGGATGTTTTCAAAATCTTTCGAAATTAGTAACCCAAGTGCAATCATGATGTATTTTTTTTTAGCAAATACCTGAAGTTTTATTTTTGGGTTGATTTTATCTCAACATTAACACCCCTGATGTATCCATTCAGAATGGTATACGGAAAAGGCACAACCATTGATTTATGCTGTGAAGTAGTTCGCTTTTTGCGATCTTTAATGATAATCAGAGTGAAAAGATGGTCATATACCATGGAACTGTTTAGGCAGGTATTACAACATAGTATTTATTCAGTAGTAAAAGAACGCCCCGCATCGACCTGTTTGGATTCATTTCTGCACCTGTCGTAAGTATAATACAAATTCAGGAATTTTCCTGGGCATTTTATAAAGCGCAGGCAAAACTGAGGTTTCACAGCATTTTTCGTTATGACTGCACCAATTTAGGCAAATTAGAGTGAGAGCCCACTGTGAAAAAGCTGGCCGATCGAGTGACCGGATGAAATATGTTTTGAATAATAGTACTTATAGCAACTATACAGAAAAATATTTACGGAATTGGTGCACAGGACTAGTGCATCCTTCCGATGGGACTTTGACTTCCCACACCTACTGGCATTATATGACATCACGAAAAACCATGTCACTAATTTTCGTCGAACTGTCTGTCTGTCCGCCCTCTATAGCTTGAGAAGCACCGCTTCTATAGCTTGAGAAGCACCGCTCGGATTTGGATGAAATTTTCAAATAATGTTACTACTATGTCAAGGACGAAAAATTTTTGTAGTTTTTTACAATCGGCCTAGTGACGGCGGAAAAAATGCCAATACCAAAAAAATAAAAAAGTTTTGTTTTTGATGTTTTAGAAGGTCCTGATCATTTCCGTTTTCTATACGCGTTCTTACTTCTGCTCTCGGGCTTCACCGGCGGGCGTGCCGTACCGTCTTCATAAGTACCCTGCAAGGCAGGAAAAGGAGTTCTATGGACTGATAGTAGGGACCTGCTTGATGAACTTGATCCGTTTAATTTCTCTGTTATACATGTTCGTATCTAAAATTTTTGTCAGGTCTAAGGCGCGTATCGTCAGTCGTCCCTACAATTGTAGGGCGCGTTTATGGCCTCCTTGATTGTCATAATCCTTTCTCTCCTTCAAAAATTTCTAGATTACACTTGTCCCGTGTCAGCGTCAGCGCTCTCCTATTGTAAAGATATGTTTTCTTTTTAAATTTTAGGAAATTTCAGGCTGATAAAACCTGATATACCTAACTCAAAAGCAAGCACAATTTGATGCAAATAGATGTTTGTGACATAACCTCAAAATATAGCGCTGACACGGAGAAGTAGAAAACTATGACAATCAAGGAGGCCATGAAGGCGCCCTAAATTAGGCCCGTATCGTCAGTCGTCCCTACAATTGTAGGGCACCTTTATGGCCTCCTTGATTGTCATAGTTTTCTACTTCTCCGTGTCAGCGCTCTATTTTGAGGTTATGTCACAAACATCTATTTGCATCAAATTGTGCTTGCTTTTGAGTTATATCATGTTTTATCAGCCTGAAATTTTCTTCAATTATATTATATATATAAAAAGAAAACATATATTTACAATAGGAGAGCGCAGACACTGACTCGGGACAAGTGTAATCTAGAAATTTTTTAAGGAGTGAAAGGAGTATGACAATCAAGGGGGCCATAAACGCGCCCTATAATTGTAGGGACGACTGACGATACGATCCTTAAACCTGCAGCTTTCATCCGTCCGACCTAAGACAGCCAACCATGAACATCTGCTCTATGCTTTTTTGGCAACTCATCTAGGCTTGTTTTCTGGGACAACGCACGAAAGCATAGCAGCTATAACCTATCCAGAACATAAGGTCTATGGCGCTCTCTTATCTCGATAGGGTCTAAGTTGTGCTGAACATAATCCTTTATTAACTGATGACGGCGTTGCGTAGTAAACCTTCTTGACGCAATTTTTTGTTCGGGAATTGTACCTACTGGATACCGTAGCTTAAAATTTATCATTCAATATTAAAAAAAGTATGATATACAATATTAACACCTTGGAAGGACATTTCTTTGAATTTTGTTTTGTGGCATAAACTGGACCCATTGAGTTACTACTTGAAACTACCACCAAATTAAAGGCTTGAGGGATATCTTACAAGAAATCGACCATAATCATTAGATCCATTACATGAAAAACCCCTTCTCATTGGTCGAACTTGTGCAAAACATAGGCGCAAATTTTGATTACCGCGAGTCCATAGCAGAATTGGGGCTAAATATCGCAAGCTGGTACAATTTGTATAGCAGCATTGAGCACCACTGTTCGGTTGCTTTCCAGATACCTGTGGTTACTTCCTCTAAAAAAGACGATGCATGTCTAATCTTACTGTAAAGGCATTGCAGCTATACGGGATGTAGATACGTGCAAAACAACCCTCAGAAATTGACTATCGTATGTCAGATCTAGGCAACTACATTTTTAAAAAATATAAAAGATTCCACCATAGTAACTGAAAATAATGAAGCCTTAGTTGTGAGAAGCCGTTTGATCAAGTCGTTTAAAGAGCTTCTTTTGTTCTTTCTCCATGTCTACCTTGACTTGGCTGTAGTACTTTTTAGCTTCCTTTTTTCTATCATTTAATGGCATTTTGAATTTTAACGATGACTTTAATTAGAATATGAAATTATTTATATATATATTTGTTACACTGAGAGAAAAACAATCAAACCAATTAAAGTCTTAATTAGGTCAATTTAAAAATTAATGGACTATGTGACAGCTAACAAGTATAATTAGTTTAATTAAACTCTGATTTCGGTTTACTTGAATCTATAACTAGCTTAATTAAACCAAAACGCAATCAATTCATTAAATTTATCAAGCCGTTTACTTAGATTGATGACACCAATTTATTTGAAATTAATAAACTAGTAAAATCAGTTTACCTGCTCCAAATAAAAAAATTTAATTATCTATATGAAGTTTGCTTAATTAGTTTAGATAAGCGTGTTTGCCCAGTTTAGTGAATTATTTTATTTAGATCTAGGATATTTAGGTAATATTTGGATAATATTTGGTATCTAAGAAGACAAATTGCATTTTACTGAATGATGTAAATATATTATAACTGTGCTCTGACAAATCTTAGATCTCAAAAGAATTGGAGATCTTATTGATAGTTGATGTGTTTAAATCAAAATAAGAACATCCGAATTTTATAACTCTAACAAAATTCGATATTATTTATTTTCATTGACTGTGAACTTATTATATATGGGAGCAAGTTTTACCAACTACTTGTCTGTTTCGACTGATCGATGACTTCTCTAACGGTTAGTTTCAGGACCCTTTCGCACGACGGGCCGTCGGCGATCTATCTGTCTTCTACCGCTACGCCAATGGACTTTGCTCCTCAGATCTATGATGCCGCTGCGCGATGTACCTACCATACAGACACAGCTGATTTCGACCTCCCATCCTAAGCGTGTCGAACTTCGTACATTCAGAACTGGCTACAAGAGGAGGCTTTTCCCAGATCTACTACCTTATGCAGTTCAAAAATCGGATTAACAAAGTTTATTTGGGATCATCGTAGCAGCTGCGGTGCCGTGACATTTAGGCTTCTGCCTGCACGGTTGCTTCGGTGTAAAAAAAGCAGCGTACGCAGGCAACCAATGCTTTTTGTATCATTAAGAGATGTATAATCTTCAGTTTGGTAGTGGTTTCAAGCGGTAACTTAACGAGCGACGGAAAGTGAGACCACCAATGTGCCCCCCTTGAATTTTGCTATAGGGGCGCCAGTGCCTGATGGGTGCCGTCAAAACCTGAAAATAATAAAGTGGACCTACGATAGCCTCTCGATTCCAAGGATAATTGGTAAAGTTATAGACTTGGAAAATGAATTCTATTTATACCTACACATCCAAACACCTCTAAAGAAATTCTTGAAACATGTTTTTTCGGAAACGATATTTAAGAATCCTAGATGGGTGTTGAAGTTGAAGTTCCTTCATAACAAATAGCTATAAAATAAGTTATTTTTCGGGCTCAAGAAATTCAATGATGTTGCTGCAATGAGCAATACAGAGAAATTTACTAAATTTAAAAATTAGAATCTCATGGAAGTCTGACATGCACTTGATTAATAAACGCAAATGGTATTCCGTTATTTTTTTAAGGTCGTTTTTTGATTTTAATTTGCAGTTTTGTATCAGTAATAGGTAATGAATACACTTATCTAAATGAAAAAAGATACTTAGCTTTTGGTTCAGGTAGTATTTTCGCATCTGCTTGGAAAAATATTCCGATTCAGATTTTTTGCATAACCTTACTGACAAAGGACCAGTTTTAATAAATCTGTATGTTACCAGGTACAGAGTTGCGTGAAAAATTGTTTTAAAAATTATTTTAAGCAAAATTGTACTCAATAGGTTGAATGTATAAGCCTCCTAGATGCAACATAACAAAAACATTGGAAATTCTAGAATCTTCTCTGGCAACTTTGCTGCCAGATTCAGATTCCGCTATATTATTAGGAGATTTAAATATAAACATGTGCTAATTCACCTGCTAACGATATGCTATTGTATTTGCTGGAATCCTTTGATTTAAAACAAATTGTTAATGAGCCTACACGCATCACAGGGCTTTCGAACACTCTAATAGATTTGATTATCTGCTCTAAAGACTAAGTCACTAGAGATGTTAAAGTTTTACCGTCCCACAATATCTGGGGCCACTGTACTATATCATTACATGCGAAATTACTACTGCACTAATCCGTAAGAAAGTTAGACATTATACCTTCCGGGATTTCAAGCATTTTGACCAGCAAAAATTCCTTGAAATGTTTTATTTGGTTCCTTGGGATCAGATATATAACATGCAAGATGCGAACGAAATGGTATATTTTCTTGATGATAACGTGAATAGACTTTTTAACGTTAGTGCACCAGTAAAGGACTGTTAGGATATCAAAGCCTCCGGCACCGTGGTTAACATATAAAAGAAATGATGAACTGGAGAGATAAGGCATATAATAAGTACAAGCAGAATAAATCGGTAGGAGTTTTCTATAAATGTGCAATGAAGTTGCGAAGGCTATCAATAGGGAGAAAAAAGTCTATATGGAATTCATTCTGTCAGAAAAAGATTCTAAAGCTACATGGAGCTGTATTCGGAGACTTAGCATTATCAGCAGCAACTTGAAAGAGTTACCTGGCCATCTGCAGGACGTTAATGACATAAATAAGTATTTTTCTAGTTTAGCTACCATAGTTAAGTCTGAGTTACAAATGAAACTGCTGGAAAAATATAACACCAGCCAGCAAGCCAGACAATTCACATTCTCCGAAATAACTTGCCATGATGATATGGGATTTTTCCGCAGTATCAAAAGTAATGCCTTGGGTGTTGACGGAATCAACCTAAATATGCTAACAATCATATTCGATTTGCTAATTGAAAATATAACTTTCATCATCAACTATGCAATTACATCATCAAACTTCCCCAACTGTTGGAAAAAAGCAAATGTTCTCCTCCTAGTTAAAATAAGTAACCCTTCAGATATTTCACATCTGAGGCCGATAAATATACTACCAGCATTTTCCAAGTTATTAGAACTAGCCATGAAACATCAGGTATCTAACTACGTCTTCTCTAATGGTATCATTCCTGAAATCCAATCGGGTTTCAGGAAAAACCACAGCACAACAACAGTTCTGGCTAGCATCACGGATGACTTAATCAGATGTGTAGATCAAGGAAATTTAGCATGCTTAGTGTTACTTGATTATATAAAGGCCTTTGATACTCTGGAACCATCTCTGTTCTTGTGAAAAAGCTGATATACTTTGGTTTTTCGGAATCTGCAATCAATTTTGTATTAAGTTATTTCACTGACAGGGGTCAGATGATTGTGATTGGGTCAAGTATCTCTGAGGAGATACCAGTTAAACTAGGGGACCACAGGGTTCCATTCTGGGACCATTATTGTTCTCAATTTACATTTCTGACTTCCACGAGTACGTTGAACACTGCAGTATTCATCACTATGCTGACGACACTCAATTGTACTTTGGCTTTGATATTAAAGATTTAAAAAATACCGAACGTTTGATTAATAATGATTTAATAAATTTATCTAACGTATCCTGTTCTCATAATCTCAAAATTAACCCGTTAAAATCATCCGCAGTTATATTTGGACCAAAAATCAAAACCATTACTATCATTGAGCATTTTATATCAACCGATCCCTATAAAAAATGAGTGCAAGAATTTAGGACTCTGGATTGATTCTGATTTGAGGTTTGAAAAACACGTTAGTCAGCTGTGCCGAACATCATTCGGTGTCTTGAAGCAATTATTTCCTCATAAAAAAAGTATGAATACTGGTCTCAAGCTGAAGTTGTGCGAAACCTTAATATGGTCTAGAATTCATTACTGTGTATTTATAGGCCTGCACTAAGATCGATTGAGATAAGGAGACTTCAGACTATTCAAAATGCGTGTCTCAGATTTGCTTGTGGAGTGAGAAAATTTGAGACAGTGTCACATAAATATCGTGAGCTGGGTGTTAAAAGTAGATGAGCTACAAAAAATGCACGTATTGAGCTTGACCCATAAGGTAATCACAACACAAGCCCCTCCATATCTATCAACAAAATTTATCAGATACTCAGATATTAATCCACTGAACACAAAGAATAAGCATATCTTGGTTATCCCGAGACATTCAATATCTCTATTTAAAAGGTCGTACGTACAGGGTGGCGCATCGAAAACGAAACAGACGCATTTACTGGCAGCTCAATTTTTTTTGGGAAAACGCTCAGACCAGTCGATTTTGTTTTCAAGGGGGACACAAGCTTGGCAAAAAATCACGTTAATACGTGCAGCCCCCTGGGCGGGGGTGACACCAACCCTAAAATCTTAAATGGAAAGGGGGTCAAGTGACACCTTATTTTAAAGGTCTTTCAATTCCCTTTATAATGATGTAAGATACATGAGCCTCAGTTCAGTAGTTTTGAAGATTTATTGATTTAAAGCTTAAAGTAGACTTTAATAGGTACATCAGATTAGTTTGTACTACTTTCAGAAGAAATTTGACTAAAAGAATTTACTTAATAAGTAAATGCTTTTCTTCACTACGCCCATGGTTTGTTTATCATTTTGTTGTTGAAAATAGCTATTGGAGCGTTTTTTTTGTGGCAAAAAAGTTTCTTGAAGACAGATAAGGAAATATCTCGTACTTATTTTAAATAGGAATTTAGTACATAGTTTGCGATTGATTTGACCAAACTTTGTTGCTAAAATAACTTGTAACGCTTTATTACATAAAATAACCATGGTATATTCCACAGCAGAAAGAGTTGACATTATCGAAATATTTTTCGAAAATATTCAGTGCGCTAATAGAATAGCAGAAATATTTAATGAGCGACATGAGAACAGTAACGTGCATCGAAAATATGTTCTAGAACTTATAGCTAAATTTCGGGAAACTAGGTCAGTCGCCAATAAAAAACGCAACATTGAAAATCCCGTAAGAAACGAAGCTATAGAAGTGGGGGTTTTAGGCAATTATGTTGATCCTACGTGAAGTACCCGCAAATTGGAGACTGTGTGTGGTATTAGTCGACGTACTGTCCAACGGATTCTAAAGGCCCATATATCCATATAAATTTCACCTGGTACAAGAACTTAATGAAGACGATTTTGATCGGCGATTACAATTTTGTGAAGATATGAGTGAACGAATTATAAACGATGAACATTTTCTATTCAACACTTGCTTTTCCGACGAATGTTCCTTTCTCTTAAATGGCAGAGGAAATCGTCATAACTGCCGATATTGGTCCGATTCTAATCCCAGAATGTATCATGAGGTTCATACACAGCAGCCACAAAAATTAAATGTTTGGGCTGGTATTTTTGACGATCATTTTTTCTTACCTGGAAATTTGACCGGTGAAATGTATTTGGAATTACTGGAAGACGTCATAGATCCTGCATTAACAGCCATAATTGAAAATCAGAATACTCGGCGGTACATTGCGAATAGGTTGATGTTCCAACAGGATGGTGCCCCACCACATTACGCATTACGTGTTCGACAATATTTAGATCAGACTGTTCCAGATCGATTGATTGGTAGTAGAGGTGCCATTGAATGGCCCCCAAGATCGCCAGATTTATCACCTTTGGATTTCTTTATGTGGGGTCATTTAAAAAGCAAAATCTATGCTACTCAGCCAACATCATTAGAAGACCTGCGACAAAGAATTGTGAATGAGTGCCTTCAAATTACTCATCAAATATTGCAAAATGTGCGGCAACGTTTTGAGCAAAATCTTTATTATTGCATGGAGAGTCATGCTGGCCATTTTCAACATTTACTTGCCTAACGGGTCAGTTCATTCTTCATTTTTAAATTACTTTGCTGCCAAATGTATTGATCTCCACTAATGATGATGTATTAGTTTTATTTAAGCCTTAAAACAATAAATCTTCAAAAGTACTGAACTGAAGTACATTAATTTTATATCATTATAAAGGGAATTGAAAGACCTTTAAAATGAGGTATCACTGGACCCCCCTTTCCATTTAAGATTTTGGGGGTGGTGTCACCCCCGCTTAGGGGGCTGCACGTGTTTACGTGATTTTTTGCCAAACTTGTGTCTCCCTCAAAAACAAAATCGACGGGTCTTAGGGTTTTTCAAAAAAAAAATTAGCTGCCAGTAAATGCGTCTGTTTCGTTTTCGATGCCCCACCCTGTATATACTGCTATCAAGCTATACAACGCGTCGCTTACCGATTCACTCATTACTCTATAAAGAATGATTTCATTGCCGAGTAGACCATGGCCATGAATAGGGAGGGACTCATTACAGTTTTTTTTAACTTTTTTGTTTTCATTGGGATTAGAAAATTTACATAAATATTTGTTGGGTTAAGTTGAAAAATGCTTTTTAGGGACACAAAAATGTCTTTCGCTTCAGTTAAATTGTTTTTAGATTTTCTAGAATATTCTGAACAAGGAAGGTGATTTAGAACTTTTCTCTAAAGGTGATAGTACAGGGGAAAAAAGATGAACGTCACAGAAAGTAAGTTTTGAGAAAAATGAATTTGAAGGTTTGAAAACTCCTAGACTCGTTGTACATGGTGGGTCAAAAGATCTGATGGAGGACCATCGATTCCTTATTACAAGGAATTGAAAAAAAGTTAAATTACAAATATTGTTTTTTGATATACAGGGTAGCCCAACAGTGAACGCAGACCAATCACTTGTTTAATGGAAAATCATTTTTATTTTTGTATTTTGAGATTCTACTTATGATTTTGAACATTTTTTATGTGTTAGCGTCCATGCCTGAATTCAACTTTTTTTGGGTTATTGAGGACAGAAATGAGACTTTCGTCATATGCGACACACTGTAAAATCTAAGGTTTAAATAACCAGCAAAATGTCTATTTTAGGTTTTAGCCATAAAAGAGGGTCAACCTCGGAATAAGAGATAAAAAGCTGTGAGCTTATAGAAACCTTTATTTTTCCATTTTAAGAGTTGCCTCACGAGTCTAATAAAATCCCGTGTCCACGTCTTAATATACCAAAGGTCACAAAAATCTTTATTTTTGCAAATATATCGCTTTATGTTGGCTTAATGCTATTTGCATTTACCATAAATATTGTAAAGAATGTGACTTTTGGTTCAAATATTTTTCCATACTAATGTTTTTGAGAGAGAGGGCGGATCACCGCTCAGTACAGCATAATGTAAGGTCAACCGTTCTTCCCGATAAATAATACACCGAATTAGGTCTAAAAGTAATTAAGAAATATAAAGTTGTGCACGGAAGGACAGGGTGATTTTACGCATATATCATGAGGGATAACTACCCAAACCTGAAAAAAGTACGCAAAACTCAAAGGAAGGATTGTGCGATCAACAAAGTCATATAAGTCACTTAGTATATATGAATACGGTGTCCCGAATTTGAAGGGTAATCCTGCAACTGTAGATAGGTCACGTCATGCCCTACTAGATTGTGAGATTTTATTCTAGTAAAAGTCTTATAGTTTTCGAGATGTTCAGCGTTCATTTTTGTAAAAACTTTCTTATATCCAGTTTATCCCGTGCCGTTTCTACAAAAATCAACTTTTTTGGACCAGCTTAGTTTTAAAACACTGAGAATGAAGCATTTCATTTCGTCCAATATTATTTTTTCTCAAGGTGGCGAACAACTCACATAAGTCTATTTTTTATTAAAACCTCTTCTTACACCTGACATTGATATTCTGTAGAGTGAGAGGGATCAGTACGATCACTGTGCTAAATATTCAAAAAAGTTGGCCAACTGTTGGCAATTTTTAAATGGTACATTTATTCGCTCTCTGCTATTTTTTCGTTTTATTGCAGTTATAATAGAGTAGAGTCAGGTTTCGTAGATATCAGAAAATAACACTTTATGGCTTGGATACAAAAAATGGATAGGATTGATTTTAGGTACAACGATCTTAGTCGCAAAGAAATAAGGGCTCGTTGCTCTATCTGACCGACATGTGCAGCGGGGGTATTATGTAGAAAACCTAAGAAACGTCAGAAAAAAAAAGACAAAATGTCATCTTGCAAACTAGGTAGCTTGTAGCGTGTTCATTCCACGTTTGCTCGCTATGATCGCTGTGAGCGCCATCAAAAGCGTTCATCTATGGAGGAATGACTCAACGACACGACATGCATTGAGTTGGATGTTTGTTGGTTGCACGCAAGCCTAGTAGTCTGTAGTGTTTATCTCTGAGAAGATGTGAAAGAAAGAAAGTTGGTTGAGTAGCAAGATCGTATCTGGATGATTATGTGTATTGGTCTGCATGTGTATAAAATCATTGATATTTGCTTGGTGAAATTACTGAAAATGCTGCCAATTAAGAATATCTATTAGCTGTGCCCGACGGGAGAGAGGTTGGCCCGAGTAAAGATAACATGGTCACGCAAGACAACTACCAGGCTCGACAAGACTATCGGTAGCGAAATTTTTTACGAAAGGGTTATAGAATACAAAATATGCAAATCAAGATTGGAAAATTGACGCCTTGATATTGGTACCTCAGTCTATACATAAGTTTTGGCAGCTGACATTGTCACTGTTTTGTTAGAATGTTATGAAAAATAAGGTTTGAATTAAATACCAATGGAGAAACATAAGATTTAATGTGTACCTAATAATGTTTTCCAAATAGCTAAAGGCTATTCCGATAAATATTCCCATTGTACGTGCAAGAACAAGCAAAGCATGTCTGGTGGTATTTGTGTTTTATGAAAATTTGTATTTTTACGAATTGTTATTAAAGTTTAATCATTTATACCTTGTGTCCAGAATTTGCACATAAATATAAAACTATTATATTGTAGATTTCCATGTGTATAAATAGTGTGTGCCTAGTTATTTTGGGGTAACATTAAGAATAGCATGATATTTTGATATTTAAATGATATTACCTGTTACTGGTAATGTATTTCACCATCGATTGACATTGACCGAGCGGAAAATTGTTCAAGACGTCATAGATGACCTGTTGGCTAACAGAATCATTCGGGAGAGCGAGTCACCTTTTGCAAGTCCTATAATACTTGTAAAAAGAAGGACGGTTCATATAGGATGTATGTTGATTTTCGAAAGCTGAATCAGCATACTATCAACAATCGATACCCTCTGACATTAATAGATTACCTGCTAGATTGTTTAGGAAAGGGTAAGGTATTCACATCCTTCGACATGTCTTCCCGATTTCATCAAATCCCTATTGACGCTGATTCAGTTCATAAAACCCCCTTTGTAACTCCGGATTTACATTTTGAATATAATTACGCATGCCATTCGAATTAGCGGCAGTTTTACAAAGAGCAAAAATAAAGCATTGGGGGATCTGAGGAATTCAGTAGCGTTGGTGTACCTCAACAATGTTTTGATACCATCTGAAACAGTCGAAGAAAATTTGTCATCATAATATTTTTCTTCAAAATGTTTTAACATTGATTTTTAATACTGTGCTTTGTATTATTCTGTTTCAGAGTAAACATCGAGAACGACTTTATACTTAGGTTGGCCGTTTTAGAATCAAAATTATGAAATCCCCGAGCGTAAAATTATGATAGTTCTAGATGATACTTATAGAATCGCAGCCGCGGCCGCTCACGGTCGGCACCACAAAACATAATCACTGAAGAAGGTTTACTCACGTGCTAACCATAGGGCAACACGGTTGATTTATGTCAGTGTCAATCGCCATTTTTTCTGGATGCCACATGATTGCCAGCTTGTGCCGGCACTTTGCATAAATCTAAGACTCTTGTATAATTATATATTGGGCATTTACTAATAATATATGGAAGATTTTATAACATTATGTGTTATTAACATATTTTTGCCGTTTGACAAATAAGTAGTCACTTATCTGTTAAAGGAGCAGCATCAATAACTCAGGGCATTATGAATTCATCCATATATCCTAGTTACGTATATGAAATTAAAAAAACTCTATACTTGAGAATATATTTTTATCTAAATTTTATGTTGTATGAGCACGTCAATAATATTTATGCTCCAAATATTTTCATTTATATATTGGGCATTTACTAATAATATATGGAAGATTTTATAACATTATGTGTTATTAACATATTTTTGCTGTTTGACAAATAAGTAGTCACTTATCTGTTAAAGGAGCAGCATCAATAACTCAGGGCATTATGAAATCATCCATATATCCTAGTTATATGAAATTAAAAAAATCTATACTTGAGAATATATTTTTATCTAAATTTTATGTTGTATGAGCACGTCATTAATATTTATGCTCCAAATATTTTCATTTCTGGTGATGGTCTTCTGCAGCACTTGCAGGGAAAAATTGTTAGAATTAGGGCCGATTTCACCAACATTAATATTATGGACCAATGGGAAAATACTTTATCGAAATTCAATTTGACAGAAGCTGTCAAAGCTCTCAGAATATCAATGATATCTATTAAAATATTGAATAAAATCGTGAA